GCGGCGGCGGGGGCGGCGGTGGCGAGGGCGGCGGCGGCAGGGGCTGCTTCGGCCTCTGTGGAGCCAAAAAGAGCCCCTACTCCAGGGACTGAGCTGGCTGACTTTATTGAATTCTCTGTCCAGTTCAACTGGCAAATATAGGCCTTTGTCCCCTTGTGGTTGCTTCTGAACTTTTCCCTCCCGATATTTGAAGTGGGGGGTTGGAAAGGCTCATTCGGGACCTCAGGCCCATCTTCATCCTCTAAAACAGAGTATCTAGGAGCCTTCTCCCCAGTTTCCTGGAATCCTCGCCTTCACAAACATTTTCTTCCTTTTTCTTTAAGGACGGTCCAAAGCATGGCAAGCTTCTTTTAGATTTCTTCTTACAGGATTTCCCCAGCTGACCTTTGAATTTGCGTGTTAGCTGAGAAAGAAGGAAAGAAAGAAAAGGATAAAAAAAATTAATAATAATAGAGAAAGGACTAAAGAAAGAAAAGAAATTTTTGAAAGAAAAAAAACCCCACACAGTCAAAAAATCTTTTCCGTAGGGAAGAGGAAAGCAGGTTAGGGCAGCCCCGTCTTTGTTAGTCATCTTCTGTTCTCCAGTGCACAAAAATTTGCGTTTAAGTAGGAAGAAGCTAAGTTCTTAGGACAATTGCAAAATGATTTACATTCATCCTGCTTTAATCGATATGACTGGAAAATCAGGCTTACACAAATTTTAAATGGCTATTCCTTCCATTCCACCCCACCAAGCAACAGCCTTTCTCTCCCCTTTTGCAACTTCAGCTGACCAACAGAGGGTAATGTCAAAGCAGTTGTATGAGTTTCCTTTATTCTCCTTTTGTTACTACAGATGAAAAATACCAGGAGTATAATGAATACATACAATTTTCACCAGTTCCAAAAGGTTCGATGATATCCAGACTTCATATAGCCTGACATCTGAGTGCTTAGGGATGCCTCTAGAATCATGCATTTCCTTATTTTACCATATCTGAAGAGTTTTGTTTGTGGGGGTGCTAAAAGGTTTCAAACAACTTACTCCAATCCTCCCTCTCAAAAAAACGAGCAGACATGCTTTCATTAATTCCCAATGTAAAACGTCTGCTTCTCTTCCTGCATGCTTATTGCTTTATAATAATCTGTTAATGAAACAGAAAAAATAAAAATCTTCTCCACAGTAATAATTTGATCTCGAGACAGCAGTAAAATACCTCATTGCTGGGTGGTGAGATTGTGACATTCGGCGGAACTCAAGCCAATCAGCATACAGATAATATGGGTTAATTTACATACTGTGTTTCTATTGGACACGCTGAAGTAGAGCTTTCTCTGTTTAAAGCTTAAAAAATGAATACTTCACTGTCATGATGTCACAGTCGTTACACAAAGCCCTATGTTGGTAATACCGAAAAGATGTTAAATTACCCAGATATATTTTTGGATTTCCTAAACCCATTAGAAAACGGATCATTTATTTAAAAGGAAAAAAAAGGAAGAAGAATATACACAAGACACTTAACTTTGGCATTCCCTTAACCTAGAAAAATCAATCCTACAGCAGTACTGCAAGTAACTTGAGGGCATTTCCATTCAAGTAAAACATTGCTTTTTTTTTTTTTTCTTTTCCAAAACGAATTCAGAAGAACTAAAAACTGCATGATGGTTTGCAACTTCTAAATGAAATGTCAAATTAGTTTTTATAGAACTACTAATCAATTCAATTTGTTCTTTTTTTTTACTTCCCAATTAGTGTCTCAATGTACTTTTCAAAGAGTTATTATTTGCTGAATTTTTACAGTTGAAAAATCTATAGAATAAGACTTAAATAAGTTTGCTAAAGGTTCACGATTGGCCAGATGTTAGGTTGTATAGATTAGGGAGAAGCTATTTAAAAGTAAATTAAAAGGGTGACTGCACTGCCAAGCCATGAGGCAATAATTTACTCTGCCAAAAGGAATAGGGCCAAGATCCAAGGGTTTAACTAGCCTTATGCTTTAAGAAGTAGGTATTGATTCCTTAAAAATAAGGGAAGGAATTGTATGTATGCAATATTCTTTCATATCCACATATCAGGGTATATTAGAACTTTTGTTTTCCCCCTTTGCAGTTGTACACAGTTACATTCACTAGTTCAGTTTTTCTAGCTGTTAAATGAGAATGTCATTTGCTTGCTTCATAGGGGGCTCAAGAAATTAATGAGATAGTTCTCAATTAGTTCATTAACACTACTGGAGAAAACATTGAAATGTACATTTTTCATCACCAAGGATTTTAAAAAATATGTGTAATTGCTGACAAAGTTTTGTATTATCCAAAGTTCTGAAATATAAAGCTATTGCTTCAGAATGCTCAGATCCTACAAGATCCTGCTTATTTGATCTTAGCTATTTTTTAAAAAAAATTTCTTGTATCATCAAACCTAGGAAAACTGGTTTTCAGGTTAAGAGTACAGGAAGAAAGCAAACACAACAAAATACTATACCCCTTAGTGCTTGGGTTTGAAGGATTTTAGATGGTTTCAACCTCTTAGCATATTACATTTACTATATTGATCAGTGTGTTAGGAAGACTGATGTAATTTGCTTGATTTTGTTCTTATAATAAATATACACAGTTTTATTTATAAAAACAATTGTCTTCTTTTCGAAATTAATCTAATATTTCAGAATTTTGCCAAGAAAAACATACTCTAATGATGGGAAAACAATGTTTTTCTCTTATGCATTGTTTATGTGAATGTGAGTGTCAGGAAATAATACAGAGAATGATAGGCTAGAATAAAATATTCTAAGAAAAAAAATGTTTTTAAGGTTTTTTCCTTAGGGCATGTGAACTCACCACAGAGAAACAGAGAGAAGGAAGTTAGAAATCATCTCCCCAGAGGGATGGTTGGCCACGCTGCAATCCTTTCTCCTTCATTCTCCCGTCAAGATTTTGAGCATGCATGCACATGCGCCCAGCATGATTTTCAAACATGCAGGTCTGGGATTTAAACCATGGTTGGCCATGTGGGAGTCCAGTGCCTTAATCACCACACCTCCAGCTGGTCCGCTAAGAAAAGATTTTTAATTATTCTTCAAAATATCATCCCTTTCATTTAAAACTTATCAAAGCTTTAGAAACAAGTTATCTTTGGTTTTTCTCAACCAAAATTGAATGGCATATGTGATAAAAAATCTTTTATAAGTTTTACCAAAGCTATCTTGGTAAGAAAGTTTCCCACTGAGGAATTTTGAATGGAAACATTTTCTGTTAGATTATTTAAAAAAAAAAAAATCTGGGGACCAGCAGATGGTGTGGTTACGTTACTGGACTCCCACATAGTGGCCCGCAGTTCGAGTTCTGGACACAGTGGCTTAAATCTCATCCCAGGTGCTTGTGCATGAGTGCCCAAAATCCTGAGAGGAGAATGGAGGAGAAGGGATTGGGGTGATTTCCAACGTTTTGTCTCTCTGTCCTTCTCTGTCTCTCTGGCGAGCACACGTGTCCTATAGCAAAAATCTCTCTTAAAAAAGTAATAATCTGGAATAAGTGAGAAATAGATTACACTAGGTCGTCAGAAAAGTCATGACATTTTTCTGTGAAATATGAGTTATGACTTTTCCGACGACCCAGTACATTTACATTTCGATAATGATGTTCAAATCCTAGTTGCTGCAAACAGTGACCTTTTACACAGTGACATTTAAGTAACTAAAAGTTTCTAGGGCATTGGACTCATCTACTTGAGGAATAGAATGGTGAAAGAATACACTAGACCTAAAGAACTACCACTAGATTTTAAAAATTGTGTCTTGGGAGTTAGGAATAACCATAATCTTTTTTTTTTTTTTTTTGAGAGGTTTTCACTATAGGTCACATGCGCTCGCCAGACAGACAGGGAGAGACATAGAGACAGAAAGCGAGAAATCACCCCCCAGGGGGGATGGTCACGCCGCAATCCCTTCTCCTCCATTCTCCTCTGAGGATCTTGGGCACGCACGCACACGCACCCGGCGTGAGTTTTAAGCCACCGGGTCCGGGACACGAACCGCGGTCGACTATGTGGGAGTCTAGCGACATACCCATTACACTAACTGCTGGTTCCCAGGAATAACCATAATCTTGAACATCCCAAACAGTGAGATTTCTTCAGAATTTTAATAAGTTTTAAAAAAGATTAAGAATCTGGCATATTGGGAACCAGCAGTTAGCGTAATGGCTATGTCGCTGGACTCCCACGTAGTCGACCGCGGTTCGTGTCCCGGACCCGGTGGCTTAAAACTCACGCCGGGCGCGTGTGCGTACGTGCCCAAGATCCCGAGAGGAGAATGGAGGAGAAGGGATTGCGGCGTGACCATCCCCCCTGGGGGGGGATTTCTCGCTTTCTGTCTCTATGTCTCTCTCTGTCTGTCTGGCGAGCGCACGCGCCCTACAGTGAAAATCTCTCAAAAAAAAAAAAAAAAAAAAAGAATCTGGCATATTCTTTTCTAGAATGCTAAAAGGTTCATTTATCAGAATTTTCTCTCTGCTCTGCCA